TGTCACCTTGTAGGTCATCTGGCAGAATTCAAGGGTGATTCAGAAATGGAGCTTCCTCCATCACCTGAGATGGTGACAGAAGAGGTCAGGACTCTCCAGGGTCATACAACCTCTGTGCTTACCCAAGGGGGACTTCAAGAGCAGCCCTTGCAGTGACATGAACAGGGACACAATCTCCATATAATTGAGGATTAAGCAAACGCAAAGCATGGAAGAACCGCAGCCACACAGCAGAACCACAGCTGTGCAACCAGAGAGCCAACAAAGCCAAGGGGACGTCCTGCCTTCTGCTACGGCAGCATTATGGAAGTGGTGGCACGTTAGCTTGACCAGAGGCTGCCCTGAGCACGAGCCTGCTTACGCAACACTTCACAGAAAAACCACCACACCACGCAGGGGCAGACGTTGCCTAAGTCACAGTCCGAGTCTCAAACCAGAGACGATGGAGACTGCAGGGTCTCTGCTTCACAGAAATAACCGTGCCCCTCACACATCAACCTGGAGAGAAGTCAGGGCTTGGAGAAGACAATGGCAGAGGTGTCTCACTGCCAGGTCCACACTGCAGGGAGCAGCGAGAGGGGACAAGTCAGGAGCCAGGGGTGACCCCAGCACAGGCAGTGCCCTCACCAGCGAGGTGAGGTCCCACAGGGTCTAAGCATGGGGAAGGCAGAGCCAAGTGCTGATAACAGGGTCCATTGACACATTCACCAAAGTGAGGCCCCAGATCCAGGATCCATTTGGGAGGGTTAAGGGGTGTCCATTCAGCAGCAGCAGGACATGTGGACAAGGACAGAGACAGGGCTACAACACTAAAGGGTCCATCCACTCATCCAGGAGACAACAAAGCTACAGCAAAGGTCCAAGGTCTGTCCAAGACACGGGGCCAGGGCCAGGACATCAGACCAGCATCCCTACAACACACCCAAAGCAGGACTAAAGGCCCAAGCCTGAGCCCAAACAGAGCTCCTGGGCCTTGGGCAGAGGGTGTGGGGCAACTCCATTCACAGGTGAGGCTGGTCACAGTGATTAAGGCCAATTAGTGCCCTCAAGGCATGCCACTGTGCCTTCTGATGGAGCCTGTGGGGATTCGAAGTGCGGAGGTCCCAGTGACGCCTTGTTCTCAACCAAACCAGCCAGCTAACAAAGTAATGGAGAGGGTGTGCACCGATGTGGAGGTGGAAACCAAAGCTGTGGGTCAGCAAGGGGCCAGGAGGAACACACCATGACCGTGCATCCTGCTAGATCTTGTGGGCTGGGGAGGAACCTCAAGGCAGAAGCATGTCTCTCGTGTGCTAGGTGAAGAAGCCAAGCCTTGTCCCACCTGAGCACGGCAGACTTGGCATCAGTTATCACCTGGGCCACATTCTACACCTGAAGCAGCCCATGGACCTCCAGGAGGAGCGTGGGAAGGTGCACGACTGGACATCCTTTGCACAAGGTCTTTGTCTGCACTGTTGGACATACAGAAGCCGGGGAGCGGCAGCAAAGCCGGGAGCGTGTGCCACCAGCTGGCCGAGGGACTGGGCATCGGAAAGCTCCTTCGGTGCAGCCCCCGAACGGCCCCACGCCAGCGCCTACGTGTCGGAAATGATTCATCACTGGGGGGGCTGATGTTTACTCAGCCTCCCCCTCACTCGCCCACCCTCTCCCCATCACAGAGAGGAGGAAAAAAAAAAAAAAGAGAGAAAAAAAAAGTGTTTTTCTTTCCGCAGAACCTTTTATTGCCAGAATGACCTTTCTGACCTGGTGATTCATCTGGGGGAAGTTTTCCTGGACCTCACAATCTTCCCAGCGCGCCGGCGGTGCCGGAGCACGAGGATGGGGCACAGCCAGGACAAGGGCTCCTGGGATGGCGATGCTCATCCTTGACCCTCTTGCTGCTTCCAAGGGTCAGAGCCCCGGGGCACCGACTCTTGTGTTGCGTGTCCTTTCCCACCTCTCCTCCCCAGCACTAATCAGAGCAGCCCAAAGCCTGGCTGGGGTGGGAGAGGTCCCAGTTCAGCCCTTGTTCTCCCGCCCCCCTACGGAACCCACTTGGAGCGTAACGTTTGTTTTCTGTGGGTTCCTGTTTGTTTGCAGCTTTGCTTAAAGGAAGCAAAAACCTGGCTGTTTCTTCAGCGTTGCCTTAGCAGGACGAGAAACGCCGCTTCCTGTGAGAAAACACGTTCCCTGCTAATTCTTGGCGCGACCGAAGCCTATAAACAGCTCCGCTGTCTCCCAACTGGGATTCCCCTCCGCGGTGCTGGGTCCCACACATTCATCGCTGCACCTCAGCACGGACCAGGCTTGGTCACCCAGCCCTGGGCTGAATCCCCTGAGGACGAGTTTTTAACATAAGAAGTTATTTTACTTTAAAAAAAAAAAAAGATACAGAACATATATCTCATACACACGTTCGCATATACAGGATACACAAACAAACTGGAGATTCCAACAGTCCCTGCGCTCTACAGCAAAGGACGTTTTAAGCCCCGGGAACTGGTGAAACCTGCAGCCTTCCTCCTCCTGAGCTGGCATCCAGCTTCTGCCCTCCCAAACTGCCCATCACACAGCGTAAGCCCAGCAGGAACAGGGGTCCCCTCCTGCCCTGGGTTTAACTGCCCTCCACGCGGGGTGCCAGCACCCTGCCTGCAGCCAGCCCCAGGAACAGGAGAGGGGAGCAAGGCGAGAACAAGGACAGATCCAGGCTGGAGGAGCAGCTCCTCCCGATGAGTGCCAGCGTGACCATGGCAGCTGGAAGATGGCGGGAGCCAAAACCAATGTCCTTACAAACATCGTGGGTGGGACTCGAAGTGGTCAGATCTGCCTGGCGCACATTCATCTCCCCAGTGTCACTCCAAGCTGAGGACTTCACCTGCAGCTGATCAAGACAAGTGTCCACTCCGTTCACCGTAGTGCCTGGAAAGCCACCCAGCTCCCACGGACATGCACGAGCCATCCAAGACGAGCAAGAAAACAGAGCAGGCACAGTCACACAGTGCTTCCCGACATTCCCAGAGATGCCTTGACTCCACGATGCTCCAGTAGCAAAGGACAGGACAACACATACATTCAATACTACAAAACTGTACTACAAAAATAACATTTCTAGTGTTTCATACAAAAATAATGCCATAGCACAGTGCCTCCCCAGCCGCGAGGCCACGAGCCCCAGCCGCACGCGAGCAGGGCGGACGGGGCGGCAGCACCGACGGCCCCTGATTTACCCCCCAGGTAAATCAGTCCCCATCCCGTGCTGGGCTGCACGGGAGAGCTGCTGCACAAGGAGGGGCTTCACCCCAAATTCCTAATTACAGTTAATCCGATTGCATCCCGCACTTGCAAAGCCCGAGATGAATCCCCGGCTCCGCTCTCTCCAGTTGACGAAATGCAGAAATTAGGGGTGGAATGATGGCAGAAAACAAACCACCGTCCCAGTCTGTCCTCTGCACCTCCATGGCTGGATGGGTGCCCTGAAGGTACCACCTGGTGGATCTCATGAGCTGCCTTCCTCTAGCTCTGCTTTACAGCTGGCCCATAATTTTTTGCTTCAATTTTCTTGCTTATCATGTGGCTTCGCTTTCTTTTTCTACATGCATATTTATACTTTGGGATCTGATCCACTAGGGTTGGTCAGACGAGGGTCTGACCATTGATATGTATTTCTACCTACAAAGCATCATATCGTGAGGACCTTTGCACGTTCCAGCAGAATTCGTACTGGAATCAATGTTTAATAAGGGCTTTCAGGAACAGATAAAAGATAAGGCTTACATACAGCGATGTCTAGACGTGTAAAAATCAAAACCAATTTGGGTTAAAAAAAGCCTGGTGCTGTTACAGTGCTTTAACAGCCTGGTGATCAGTGCTGTGGAAAAAAAAAAAAAACAAAACACAAAAACACCTAAAACGTAGCTGAAGTGTAGGACCATAAACAGGAATTTTGTGCTTTTTTGTGGATCAGCAAATGTGCTTATTTCCAGAGAGAATATGGGACCAGAAGGATGATACATCTGCTGTGGTGGAATAATTCCTAATATGACGAAATCCAGAATTGCATTTAGCTCCTCCAAGAGGGTATTTCCTGGGAGTTGTGCTTGCACGGAACAGCAAAAGCCCTCCAGTGTCATCACAGGAGCAGCAAAACTTTGGGGTGAGTTCTTGTTTTGTCCCATTTGCAAAGGCTCATCCACATTATCCTGCCCTGGTGCTGGATGCAGCAGGACCCAGGGTGCACCAGCTGGCAGGAGGGTTTTAGTGCAGCTGATTTGTCGAGAGCCAAGTCTTGGACTAAATCTGTGAGAAGAAATGCCCATAGCTGTTGGAGAGAAAGGTGGCCTGATTTCGAGGAGGAGATGGATTGTGGGTTGCCAGCTCCTCTGAACGTGAAATCCGCAGCTCTGACCTTCAGTCCCCTAATCAGAGGCAGTTTTTGTCACCTCTGTCTGAAGAGCTAGGCTCATGTCTCCAGCAGGAGTAAATGATGTGTTTGATCAGCCCAAGGAGACCCAGCTGTCACCAGCATCGGTCTTGGTCTGACAGAGCAGTGACCTGAAATGCAAAGGAAGAAGCAGCAGAGAGTTTGTTAAGTGCAAATCACGTGGTTTTGGCGTTACGATTGCTCAAGGTGGCAGAGCCCGAGTCCGGCAGCGTGGGTGAGTGAGTGGCTTCTTGGTTGGGCCATGATGAAATGCAGGAAAATTCCCAACAGCAATTTGGGAATTCACTTCTGCCCACCACCTGGCAGAGAGCCACCAAGCAGCTCTAGAACAGCAATAGCCTTTGTACGTAGCAGTGCCAGAAAGAAAAAGAGCATCGCATTTATTTCCCAAATACTGTCATTGGTCAATGATGACTTAGATGACAGATTTTTGGACATTCTGCTCTGCAAAAAAATCAGTTTTCTCTGGTATTTTTACTCGCTGTCTTGCTTCGTACTTGTCACCAGTTCAGCATAAACTTAGCTTTCCTATAGCAACACACATATAGTTTAGGCCAAAAATGTCCACACCATGAAGCATTCAGATTAATTCCATTGGATAGACATTGTTCTCATGTCCTTTCTTCTTCCAGAGCAAGCTCTGTACCATTTCTTTTGACATTTCTTCTGTTTTGACTCCAAATTTTAGATACAGCCATACAGCAGCAACGCTGCAGGCCATCAGCCCACCTACCAGAGAAACTGGGATGATAGAGTGCATTTGAGATCTTGACAAGAAGCTGGGAAGAGGCAGATCATTTGGTCTTTCTGTCGTCATCTGCACCCTGTCTTGGCCTGAGAACGCTTGACTAGTAAAAACTAACGTATCTGAAGGATCTTGCTTTCCTACAGACGATGAATAATCAAATGTTCTAGTACCAGAAGCATCTGCAGAGGAACTGACAACCTTGGTACGGACAGAAGGGCCTCCATCTATGGCAGTAGTGGGGTTTAGAGTAGAAACTGAAGCAGTTTCTGGTGGAACTGGTGTGGTTGGGACTGTGGTGATCTCCGTGCTGTCCAGGATGGAGGGGAGACCTGAACTAAAACTGCTAAAAGCAGCGTCTGGTGCGTTGGTTCTTGCACTTGCAGGGTCCAGGGATTCATTTGTAGAAAGTACAGGATGGATCGATCCTTTAGTAATGGCTGTGGGATCTGAATTTGAGCTAGGAGAAGCTGTGTCTCGATCATAAGCTGTAGCATTTGCAGTATGTCCTACAGGTTCTTCTGTAGATCCTACAGCCTTGTCAAAACCATGCACAAGAGCCATGGGATATGAGGTGGGCTGGCTGGAGACCATGCCTGCTGCAAAAGTTGTTGAAGGTGGTGGAGATGTTAAGGAATCTCTGTTTGCTTCCGGAGTGACTTCGGAGCGGGCGGCAATTTCCTGTATCACGGGAGATGATCCTGCAGGGAGCTGCGTGGTGTTCTGCGTGGCTGGTGAGGACCTGCTGGACACCTCCGTCCCAGCAGCAGGAACACGTATTATCTCCAAAACTGTCGTGCCAGTGCCTTGGGATAAACTAGTTGGAGCAAAGGCTTGAGGAGAAGCTGTTACCCTAAGACCAACTTGGTTTTGAAAAACGCCAGGCTTTGCTGGCGCCGCTGCCGAGGTGGCATCAGGTGGAAGTGGGGAGGCTGCAGCCTTTTCCTGGTCCAGTTTCTGTACGATCTTCTTCACCCACTCTGCCTCTGGATCTGCACAAAGCTCCACGGACTTCAGAGTAATAAGTCTGAAAACAAAAAGGGATCGATCACCTACTGGGTAAAGAAGACACTGTTCAAGATGACCAGCACGGTAGGGCAGGCACGCAGACAGCGACGCTGGCTCTCTGCAGCCTGTGGTAAACACCACGGGCTCGGGAGGATTACTCATTTCAGGAAGAGCAGGTGCCTCTGAGGTCTGATTGAACGAGGAGCAGCTGAACATGACTCACAGGTGAAGGGTTTTCCTCTAAGAAGTTTTTCTCCTTTGAAAGGATTGTCCTGATGTTTGGAGGCAGCGTTTGCCTCCAGCGCTCAGAGCAGGAAGCTCCGCTGGCACCAGCTGCCCAGGGGCAAGCGTACGGGAGGACAAACCCCTCTGATTTACCCAGTGAGGCTTTGCAGGGTCAGCCCAGCAGGTTCACTTTGGAGCAACCTCCTGGGCTGCTGTAAAGTGGTCTCGATGGGTGCCTCACCTCTGGGGTAAGTCAAACCCAACAATTCTCCCGGGGAAAAAAATGCAGTTTTTCTCATCTAGTCAAGCTCACGAGTCTGGACGTGCTTCCAGAGAACACACCTGCTTTCAGGCGTGCTTCCGCTGCCCCGTTCTGCCAGCACGTCCCTCCATCCATCCCTTTCCCCATCCCTTTATCCCTGTGCCTGAGCCCCTGATCTCGCTGGGATGCTGTCGGTCTTTAAACATGGAAAAACATCCCCCCCACCCCCCAAATAACTGCCAGCATTCCCTCTGTTTCCGAATTGCACCTTGCTCCAACGCCAAGGCGTGCGCCGAGGGGTGGGTGCCGCAGGGGTCCGGCAGAGGGGGCGGCGGTGGGGCAGCACTTACATGATGGCACGTCTGGGGCAGCGCGGTTCCGTCCTGCGGTAGCTCCTTATCCGCTTCACCGCTACCTCCGAGGTAAACCGGCCGCACTCTTTGGAACACTTCAGAGGTGCTTTGGGTTGCCCTGAAATAAAGTTCCCAACATATTAAACGTCGGGTTTTTGTTAGGTACAATGAACCCCAGCAGTTTCCTTTGCCCCTTCTCTGGGAGGGGTCCGAAACTCGCGAGGGAAGTTTGCAATCCCTGCTAATATGAGATGCTTCTATGAAGACAAATCCCACCCGGGCCATGGTTGGTTTTTATCACTCAAACAGGTGATGCGATACCCAGAAAACCACAAAAAAGCACTGTGAAAATTGTGGGACACCATTGCAGTTCACCCTATAGCACTGGCTGGGGGGGCC